TGAGACCAGCCACCAACTGTGAGATTCAAGGAAATTAGTATGAGTCAGGATAAGATAAAATATTTATTTTTATGGTAAAAATGTCCATAATACTCATCCTGACTCGTACGCTGAAGCTTCTACCCAGCTGTCTCCGCTCCCTCTATTGTGATTTTGACTTAAGAATCTTAGGGGTAAATAACGACTGATGTGTCTGACGGGTTGGTTGCGTGGTTCCGGTGTGCCTGCATGTGAGTTGAGTGAGATGTGTTTCTGTTCTCTGAGAACACAGCACAGGAAACTTTGCACTACTTTTCGGGAATAAGAAGAGATAAGCACATTAGTATGAGTCAGGATAACTAAAATCATATGTAGATGCTTTTGGAGTCAAGTGTAATCTGTTATTCGAATAAAGAATTCGAATTGTACAGAACCTCTCAGAAGGTATTTAGACTATGTAAGGGGGGCAAGAGCATGCCTCTCTCATATCACAATACATAAAGACCAGCAGTTATGTGAAGATCCTTGTTTTCACCCTGGATATCTAGCGGAGGAAGCTTGAACACTGTCGCTGCTAGGCAAATATTATTATCACTGACCTTTTTTTTGCTAGAACCACTGCTATTATATTCACTACTACCCTAGTAATTGTACTGTCATTGAATTTTGTTCTGCCTCTCTATTGTCTTCTGCCATTGTAATAACTTTCCAGTAATTTGGATTGATTTGTAAACCTAGTTAATTTTCCCATTCATTTGTTGTTTGTTAGTTTCACACTGAATTCTCTTGCGTAATGATTTCTGGGTAAAGTTATTGTATCAATCAGGAAGTCAACATGTAACAGGATTAAACAACACTTGTGGGCCTGTAACTTCATGTACACTTTGCTGCTGCCACTTATTTGTGACATTGTAGTGCCATTTTTTATTGTAAACCTGAAACTGTGCTTTTGAGTTTTGGATTATTTACTGATCTTGTCAGGTCATTTACTGATTTCACAATTTAGTTCTATGTGTACCGGTTTCTTGGTTAACATTTGTGTTTCAATTTGGAAGTCACCCCTTAACATTACATAAACATAAATAAGATTTGTTAAATGTGATTCTTGAATGAGTTTTCTGGATGCAGTTATCTGTGGTTTGTGGTAAAGTTTTAATCTAATAATCAATATGTTTAAAGCTTCATCAACAGGAATATGCATATGGAAATGTTTCGTGTACGGAATTCTACTTTGTATTGTGTCTGTAAACTTTAATTGCTTTTTGGAAGTGTGAAAAAATAGGATCAAAGTTTTCATAAGGACTTCCAAATGTTTATCATTTAGTAATGTATTAACTTATCCTATCTCACACTTTTCATTTCTGCCTTCTTCTTTCGATCCATATGTAAAAAAGTTTCCTGCTTCTAAAAACCAAACATCCAAACACATCCCAGCATCACCAATGTCACCACCCAAACAAATGGGTCACACACTTTAATCCTGTGCATTGTGACTTTGCATGACCTGATCACCTGACTACCCTTGCCATGTAAATTTCTTCCAATCGCCACCCTGTGGTGACATGTATTGACTTATTGAGAATACATGAATTTACTTTATTACTTTGAGTAAGCTACCTCCACATTAATTACACAATTTACAACACGTTTTGATGTGAGGATGGATACCAAACATGATCAACGTCAAGCCTATCCACATGATCACTACACTTACTCCACTGCTGACCCTCACGACCATTGCAAGTGCCACATGCGGGATGAATACCATCCTGCCTTGTCAATTGAAGATGATGGTGTCTCAGACAGTTTCCTCACTAACGATGTTCCCGTCACATTGGATCAACCAGCTTTCACCAGTGTGTCTACGTCAATACCTACATCAGAGCAGCCAGCAGCCTTAGACGTCCGCGTGTGCGTCTCTATAGACCCAGCCAGTTTCGACAGACTCGACAGTCGTCCTTGCCAGCACTTTCCGACAGTCAGCCTATCATCCTCCATTCCTCGAGGCGATGTTCCAGGCATAGCTGTGCTGAAAGATTCGCCGCAGGACTTAGTCACTTTCACGTTAATGGAGCAGGTTTTGCCATTGCCCCAGATCAGTTGTACAAGTTTGTCCTCAACTAAAATTTGACTAGGATGTCCGTGCTTCATCTTAGTATCGACGTTCTAGGGATCAACTTTAGGGGCATTTCTTATCGGAGGATCGGCGTTCCTGTTCTAACGATTGCAACTCTCAATTCGACGCTAAACGTCCGAGGGAACGACACGGCTTAGTAATGGAGCTACAGATTCGTTACTGACCTCTCCTGTTCGACATGATGATCGCCATCATTTTGAGGATGAATCATATGCCACTTCAGCTGATCAATCGTCATCTCAGTATCACTCCCCTTCTATGAGTCACTCGGATCATTGGCATCGTCGGGATAGTTCCCCCTCCTACGATACCCCTCACCCCTCGACCTCAATTCATTTCTTCCCAGTGAGTCCTCAGTGAGGTTCTTTGGAGCACAGAAATGCTTCTTCAAGGACAAGGTCGTGGTCGTCCAGGACGACGGGGTCACAATTTTTCCACCAGGTGTTCCGTCTCCTTCACTGCTTCCAAGGACATCATGGAGTCAGCCAAGCCAGGCGACTGCTCCTCTAAATGACTCACTTCACCCCCATACCTACCATTTTTGTCTTTTTCTGCGAACTGATCCATGCTAGCAGATCCCTTTGTCACTCTCCGTCTGCGGAATAAATACAGGATGTCATTGGTTGACTCCTCCAACAACATCCACATCTCATCAGGGAGTGTCTCCAGCTGATGGTCCTGAAGAAAGACAGCTTGAAGCTCCTGATGATCATCAACATGAAGACGTTCAACGCGTTGTATCTACAAAATCCACCACATTTTCTCATGACGTCTTGCCAGTGGGGTCGCCTAGTGGTTAAAGTGTTCACTCATCACGCAGAACACCCAGGTTTGATTACCCACATGTGTACAATGTGTGAAGCCACTCACATGATGTCTATTTTGCTTCTTTGAAAGATCACCTGGCAAGGCGATTACATAGACAGTCTTGATCCTCAAGACCTTTATCTACACATACCCATCATACGGAAGCACTGCCATTTCCTATGGTTCAATTTTCAAGGCCTCTATCAACAATGGAAGGTGCTCCTGATTTTGATTTCTTCGTCCCCATGGCTTTTCACTCGTATTACCAAGGTGATCACAAAGTTCCTGCACATTTCCTTGGGAGCTCACTTCCACACTCTACAGGTGACAGGGCGCTGGTCCATCAACGAAAAACGACTCCATGTCAACAACCTCGAATTCAAGTCACTGTCTATCTGGTCCGAGCTCCTTCATGCGTAACACCTCATGATCCAGTTGGACAATCTATTGGTCATCTGGTATGTCAACATGGTTGGCCTCACCACTTTTGTCACTCCTGTCGCTGACACACGACTTCTACTGGCTGATCAACTCCCTGAACGTCAAGGTCTAAGAGAGGCACATTCCCTGGATAAACAATGTCATAGCCAAATCCCTCTCCCGACCAGACCAACCATCACCAACAGCATGGCTTCTCCAACCAATGATTTTGCCCACGTTGCCCTTGCCCAGACATCGACTGCTACACCACCAGGTATCTCAGTATCTCCCATCCTTGATCCTCAGGTGTGGAACCACCACACTCATGCCATCTAATGGGAGAACATAAAACACCGCCTATGCCATTTGCAGCAAAGATGTCCTCAGGCAGGTCTCAGAGCCAGATAGCATTTCAAAGGTGTTGTTTTGATGCAACAACATTGTAAACTGCTAAGACTGTGTTGTGAAGCATTTAGAGTACGGTCTAGCGAGCGACGGAAAACTGTTTAACTCAACAATGAGTCAATATTTATGCTGCATCCAGCTTGATCAAGGGTGTACCCGATGAACAATTTGAACAGTAATAGGAATGATGTGGGCGGAATTCCCCAACACTTTCAACTAACCTAGTGCTAGTGCAGGAGTATAACTTCCCAACTCTATTGTGATGAAATCCTACAGCAACACATCTTATTAATGTCACCTTTTAACATGGCAATGCTTGACTGCATACACCATGTGCAACAGCAGAATTCCTATGAATCTTAATGTACAGTTCCTCCCATGGCCCTATAAATCACTAGATTTAAAATCAAAGAATACATTAAGTAAGAGTTGTGTAGTCACCTACAACAGCGTCTTAATGAACTGCAGACACTGTCACAGCTACCACATGCACTACAGACTGAGTGGTCCAACTTTTGTTGAGCGGCTGTTGATATTTTTAACTGTTGACTTCATATCTAGGTGAGCTACATTGCCGTGGCAAGATTTTGTCTCCTCAGAAACGGTTGAACCAATTTAGATATGGCTGAAGTGTTTTAAATCTAAAAGTTAAATCAGTTACTTATTTTGTAAATAATAAAACTGTGCAGATTAAGAAAAAGGTGTTGAAAGGAAGTTACTTTTGCATATATATAACGTAATTAGTCCTCAGTGTTTATATATCAGAAAATAATATAAATGCTGACAGAAATATTTGCCAAGTGGCTGTCTTTATTGACAAGTGATACTGTTGACTACGTACCCCAGGTGAACTGAGGTTGTGTGACACTATTTATTTCTCAATAATATATTTCTTGAATATATATTTCTTTATTATATTTGCCAGAGGGATGGTGTAAATCCTGCTGGGTTACCATGTAGGTAGCAGAAGTACCGTAAGTCCCCATGGTACCTAGTATGGTGACCTACCTTTGGTTATTGGTGATCTATAGCCCATTTGTATTGTGTACTGTTCTGAATTGTTATGAATTTTATTCTGATATGCTAGTTTTAAATCTACATCTGTGATAGTCTAGTGTTTTTATTGTCCTTTGTCGACAAATTTTAATGTCTCTATGTATTAATATATAACTTGATTTAGTCACTATATGGCTATAATATTGCCGCTGTGACTTTAAATATTAACTCACTCACTCTTTATTATATTTTGCAGAATTAGGGTACCATGTGATACTCACCCATCTGGATGAAGTAGACCATTGCTTCAAAGATACACAGAATTTGAACAAACTGTTTTCATCACCGGTAGTACAGAAGAAGGTCGAGTATATTTCTAAACAAGTAGGAACACCACCGAATACCATCAGCTTTGTCCGCAACTATTGCTATGAAACACAAAGTGATATCAATTCAGACGTCCTGTTTCTTCATGCCTTCAAACAGATTATCAATGCTGCATGTGAACAGGAAGAGAAAAGGGCAGAATTTGCAGCAGCTGCAGCTGCTCAAGACTGAGTGTTTTGTCACACTTTATATCTTTACTTTATATTTTTAGCTTCTGCTTTAAACCTATGTGAATGCTGCTTCCATCTTATTAATTTTATTGCAAACATACCGCGGAATGACTCCATGAATTTAAACCAAAGACTGCAGCCCTATACTAATTGTTCAGATTAAGAAGAGGGTTTCAGGCCACTAGTCCCATATGGGAAAGGCGTCTGTTAACTCTGAAGCTTAAACCTGTATTCTTGGTCAAAACACATTTGAATATCCATTAGTGATGTGAATTACTGATAGTGTAAGTAGTGAGGCTAAAAGATGTTATATTTCTGTCATATTGTGGGAAGTTCGGCAGGATTTATATCATCCCTGCAGTCACTGGCGATAGATTACCAGTTAAGCCTAAGATTAAAAATGACAAAAATGCTACGTTTTAAAAGTCTGGTATGCATAAAAATAATTCGAATGACGTGGAACATACATACCCTCTTAGGGGGACAACATTTTTACGCTACTTCAACCCCCCTCGAGGGTACAGCCACTAACAATCTAAGTTATATGTTAGCACTACCAATATATAAAAACATATTATGTACATCCAAATTTATGTATTAAATCAATTTCCTTTAAAAAGTGCAATACTAAATGAGAATTAACTTGACTAAAAAGGTCCTTGACTGTTTTGACACTATAATATTTATCCCTTGTGATGGAAAAATCAATGCAGTCAAGCAGGACATGCTTGACCGTGATTCTTTCATCACAAGGGACACAAAACGGAGGATCCTCACCTTTTAATAAATACTCATGTGTATATCTGCTGTGGCAAATACGACATCGTCGTATTATGACCTCTTCAAATCTGGACTGACAGCCCAAGTAGGTGTAACCATAGTTTGTTAAATTTCATGTAATTTATTGATACCTACTTGAGTGTCCCACTTCTTTTGCAACAGATCACGGATGTAAGATCTAATTGCAGGTTTAAAATCATTGTAGGGGACCAGAAGTGGTGACACAGATTTGTTGAGTGCTGCCTTTGCAGCAGCATCAGCCATTGTGTTACCAATGATACCAACATGGCTTGGTAACCAACAAAAGACGATGTCGTATTGGCCAGTAGCAAGATCATTAAATAATTCAAGAATTTCGATTAAAAGTGGATGTTAGGGTGACATATTTTTAATCGCCTGAAGGCATGAAAGAGAATCTGAAAACAGCATGAATTGTTTATTTTTAGATTGATTACTGATATATTTAAGTGCTGTAAAACTGGCGTTTGCTTCTGCAGTGAATATGGAACTGTTATCAGGTAAACGTGAAGATATAGTTCTGGATCCAATGACGGTGGCACTAGCAACTGCGCCACCATCCTTGGATCCATCTGTAAAGATAGATTTATAAGTGTCATAATTGTTTCTTAATTGACTGTATTCTTGTTGGTAAATTAATTCGTTAGTGTCTGATTTCTTTAGTTTTGTTAATGTAAGGTCTACCTCTGGCTTTACCATTTGCCAAAGAGGAGATGAGCAAAGTTTAGTAGGAGCTATATCTTGGAGTTGAATATTAGAAGCTGATATTGCAGATTTTATTCTGATTCCGAGTGGTGGAGTGAGTGTTGATTTCTTATTGTAAAGATCTTCGTAGAGAGGATTGAATATGCATTCAAAAGCTGGATTGGACTGATTAGAATATAATTTAGTGATGTATTGTAAAGATAATTTTAAACGGCGTTGTTTAAGAGAAGGCTCATCTGCTTCTATATAGAGACTGTGAATGGGAGACGTTCTAAAGGCTCCAAGGCAAAGCCTCAGGCCTTGATGATGGATGGTATCGAGTTTTTGTAAATTACTTTTGCAGGCTCCACCAGTTATGATCGAGCCATAATCAAGTTTTGAACGGATTAGTGACCTGTATAAGTGTAGGAGGGTACAACTCTCAGTAGTATGACATTATGGAAATGTGACAACCATGCACGTAGTCATATGATATATGAGGGATATTTCTTAATACATCCAAGGCAATAGTAAGTTGGTTTCAGTCCCAAGTCATAGTGTCACATGTCAAAGCATATGGGACCCTGATAGGAAATAGTGGATGATAATAAAAGCGTTAGAGATCCCTACGCAGTCATGAATGGAGAGTTGTTTGTCAACTATACATTATCTTGAACCAACATTTTAATAAATTTAAATTTCCACTTGGAATGGACGGAACTATTTTTTACATTTATTGACAAGTGAATAATTTCATTTCTTTCCCGAAAACGTGTCATCAGCGAGGTTCGAACCCGCATCGTTTGATTTAGGGACGTGTAATTGTGTGCTCAATATGTATATATTTTGTGGTAGAACAGATTACCTACAACAATGTTCATATTTAAAGCCATTAGATAAACCTTTGATGAGAAGAAACAAATCAGATTTTATATATATATATATATATATATATATCCTTATTTCGATTCAATGTACAATGTGTGAAGCCCATTTCTGGTGTCCCCAACTTGATATTGCTGGAATATTGCTAAAAGCGGCGTAAAACCATACTCACTCACTCACTATTCGGGGCTCTATAGTTCCTATTATTCTCGTCAGCATGTATTGACAATGTGCAGGCGTTACTGATAGATACTGGTTGAGGACCCAACGAAATTATAAAGAACTGTAAACCTGGCATTGTCAATGTCAGCTAGCGACGGAGCTTGTCATACTTGCAACTGTGGCAGAGAACGTATTCCAAGTGCATCACTCAAGGGCGACTCACACAGTACAAATACAGTCTAAAAAGAGTTCTGGAATATAGAATACAGAATATGTTGTCAAAGTTTAAAAGTAGGGAGGAGTTTTAAGTTGGGGAATATCCTTGTAACTCTCCTTTCCTTAAAAATAATTGGCCGCGGCCCCTGTGGGGCCTCTGCTCCAATATTTTAAGGAATGGAGAGTTACTCTGACATTACTCTCTAGGTACGCCTTTGAGTTATCATGTCCACGTTTATTTCAGAATGTTAAACACATAGTTGACCAGATGCCTACGTTGTTTTAATGCTTGAGAGTTCAAGAGTACAACTTTTAAGAAGTTTTATGGTAGACATGTGGATGCCATTTCCAAACTTAAGTGGCAAATCTTATGTCGGATGTCATTCCATATCTTTTACTTGAAGTGGTAAAAATTCACCCATTTTCATGTTAGCGTTCTGAAAGGATACATTCATTTTTCTTTTCTTTTGCCAATTTGTAATATTCCCATTTCGTTTAAAGTTCTCAGTTTGTTTTAACTGGCCTGTTGCATCTATCCTTACCATACTTGCGGGTCGAGTTCAAATGTCTGCCTACTTTCAGAGTTTTTATCTCTTTATGTTTAAAACAAATATACATTCAATTGTTTGTTTTTGCTAAACTCTAACACAGGTACTCATTTGTTTCAGTCAATCAGCATTGTGTGAAAAATAAAAAATAAAATAGATATGAAAGAAACCAGAAAAGGAAATAAGATCACAGGAGACTTGCACATATGTTCCCGTGTTTTTCAGGGGAACAATTGACTTTCCATTGCATGTGTTTGTGACTGGTGCCAACGGTCCGGGCAGGATGAGCTCACCTTTTCACTAACACCCGTTTTGTCGCTTGTATTTGATTCAATGGGTTTTTAATAAATATTAAATTCCTGTTATGGGTTTTTTTTACTGCTGAACTGTTGGGTAAACGTGATTATTCAAATATATATATATACGTTTGGCTGTTGTTTGTAAAACACATTCATGTAGAATATCAACACATTGGTACAGCACCCTTTATTTGGTGGAATATCAATAATACAAAGGTTGTGTGCAGTTGATGTCGCCTAAGAAAGTGAAAGTTTATTCTTTTCTGTATCTACATGCAATGACTAAATCGGGTCTGAAAGTAGATGCGTTCATTTATATCGTTAATATCATGTGCAATTCTTAAACGATATCTATATTACCCCATTCCATGAACGAAATCCATGTCATATTTTAACCCGAAACACCCACATTAAGTTTCTGCTATTCTTTTCTTGCGGATTTTCACAGTTTGCTTTTATACCAAGCCGTTGGTGTTTTCCTTACAGTTTTGTTTACTTGCATCAATAAGATCAACTAATATCTGAAGGTTTTGCCGCTCATCACCTTTGGTTCAGTTACATATCCTTCTATTTTACTGAACATATGTCCAACGAACTTTAAAACATAAAGTGACATGCCCCGGGTACCTACGCAACAAACACACGTGCACTTCTAGCGTAATGACACATCTTACATTCAAGCATATATATTGACATGGAACACCGCAAATGGGCGCCACACGCTTCAACCAGGTTGAGTGAGTGAGTGAGTAAGGTTTTACGCCACTTTAAAATATTGAATGATTAATTATTGTTTATACATTTACATTAAATTAGAAGCGCCAAACGATTATGACTGAAACCATACTCACTCACTTCAGTAGATTTGTGAAAAAAATCTTTATATACTAAAAGAATATCTGATACTAATGAACGGCAGGTGGTCATTTTCATATTATGAATAATGTTCAAAGACTTCATGGGTCACGGGTTACTGTAACTATGCAGGTGAAAAGATCGTTTTGACCCCAGACTCTCTTATATTTCATGCACTGAGAGGCAATCTGTATGGACACTAAAGATTGACTTGAGCTTTTCCTATGACCGCCATTTAATCTATTTCCGGGCATTTCTGTTGAGACGTTGGTACTTAAGGAGCAGCTTGAAGGGGGTGTTACGTGAATTTGCTTGTCCCATTCAGCTTTAAGGTTGTTGAGGTTGAGGGAATATTCTTCTTCAGACAAGAGATCTTGATAAAAAAATAATCATTCTTAATCTCTTGACATGTGTTGGTGATGTGGATTCATCATTTAGCACTATACTGTCTCCATTGGTTCTTCTGATTCTTAGATGATGCTAGGCGAGACTGACGTTGACGTGCAAGTAAAATTAGGCGAAACGCTGGACGTTGGGGCCGGATGTTGTGCTCCCTCAACCGGTTGAATTCGGATCTGTGATTCGTTGAACATTAATATTTCTTTTAACTTCGTTTTGCGCAACTCCTGTTTGCAGCATACCCACGGCGCGGTAAACGTTGGCATTGCAATTTACGTTTTAACAAAAGTTGTTTTTTTATGAGCACCTCAAAGCTACACAATCATTATGTAATGTTCATATTAAAAAAAATATGTGTATCACCAAATTGTGCGCTGTGTGTGAACATACGTGCAAATTGCCAAAAACTGAGAGCATGTGTTGCTCTGGTCCTGGTCCTTGGGGAATCGTATTGTTTACATGATTCGTAGTTGACTCGGGACATTTATGCTGTTTTGGGATTTTTTCGGGTTGAGGACAAGAAGTTTTGGGAGCCACGAATCGCTAAGAATAGCCAAGAATGCAAAAGAATCGATTACGAAGCTGCTACGGAACATAAGAATTAATAACCAATTGATTACGATACAGACACGAAATTGCAATTCGGGATTCTTCCACGAAAGTTGCTGATAAACTTTCTCGCCGATTCGACCGAACTCCCGCGAACTGTACGAATGTTTGGGAATCCAATACGATTCATTTAAGAACTTTAAGAAATGACTGAGATTTATCTACGAACATGAACAATTTCCTATTCAGGGTGATTCGGGATATTCGTGGTTGTAGTGTAATGGGGGCATTAGACAGGTATGACCTCGTTGAGTGTCCCGAATATCAAATACGAGCTCGAGACAAGGCATGACGACACGGGAGTGTAAGAATGTGAAATATAACGACACACAATATCTCTCCTTCTT